TCCTTTTACATTTGTTAAGGTGTGTTCTATGGCCCCAATTATGGTCCGCATTGGTGAGTGTTCCATGTGAGCTTAAAAAGAAGGTAAATGCTGCTCTTCTTGTATAAAGCAATCTACAGATTTCCATTATATCCAGTTGACTGATGGTGTTATTGATCGACTATGTCCTTATTGATTTTTTGCCTGCAGGATCTGTCCATTTCTTTGTTTTTTTAAACTTTTTTTTTAAATACTTTATTTTCCTTTTTCTCCCAAAGCCCCCCGGTACATAGTTGTGTATTTTTAGTCATGGGTCCTTCTAGTTGTGGTATGTGGGATGCCGCCACAGCGTAGCTTGATGAGCAGTGTGTAGGTCTGTGCCTGAGATCTGAACCTGCAAACCACAGGCTGCTGAAGCAGAGCATGCGAACTTAACCACTATGCCACCCGGCTGGCCCCTACTACTACTTTCTTTTGATTAGTGTTAGCATGTATATCTTTCTCCATTCAGTTTTAATCTATATGTGTCTTTATACATAAAACAGCTTTCTTGTAAACAACATGGAGTTCAGTCTTGTTTCTTCATCCACTCTGACAATCTCTGTGTTTTGATTGGTACATTTAGACCATTGACATTCAAAGTGATTTTTGATATAGTTGGATTAATATCTACCATATATATTATTGTTTTCTATTTGTTGCCCTTGTTCTTCATTCATAGTTTTGTCTTCCATTCTTTTTCTGCCTTTTGTGGTTTTAATTGAACATTTTATATGATTCCATTTCCACTCCTTTCCTAGCATATTTGGCTATACTTCTTTTTTTAACATTTTTTAGTGGTTGCCCTAGAGTTTGCAATATACATTTACAACTAATCCAAGTCTACTTTTTGTTTTTTTAAAAATGGTCTTTCTTTCCTTCCTTCCTCCGTCCCTCCATCCCTTCCATCCTTCCTTTCTTCCTTTCTTTCTTTTTTTGCTGAGGAAGATTCACCCTGAGCCAACATCTGTGCCAAACTTCCTCTATGTTGTATGTGGGTCACCACCACAGCATGGCAGCCAACAAATGGTGTAGGTCCACACCCAGGAACTGAACCCAGGCCACCAAAGTGGAGCATGCCAAACTTAACTACTAGGCTGCAGGGCTGGCCCCCCAAGTCTACTTTCAAATAACAACATACCACTTCATGGGGTGTTGAAGTACCTTATAATAACAAAATAATCCTAATTCATCTTTCCTGTCCCATGTATCATTACTGTCAGTCATTTCACTTGTACATAAGCATACATGTCTTAGTCCATTGACTGGGTGGCTTGTAAATAACAGAAATGTATTTCTCACAGTTCTAGAACCTGGGAAGTTTAAAATCAAGGGACCAGAAGATTTGGTGTCTGGTGAGGGCCCACTTCTGGGTTCACAGATAGCCATGTTTTTGCTGTGTCCTCACAAGGAACAAGGGTCAAGGGAGCTCTATGGGGTCTCCTTTATAAGAGCAGTAATCCCATTCATAAGGGCTCCACCCTCACGACCTAATCACCTCCCAAAGGCCCCACCTTCTAATACCATCACACTGCAGGTTAGGATTTCAATATATTAATTTGGGGGAGACACAGACATTTATTCTATAACAATCCACATATATTGTTGCTATTTATTTGAACAAATTATTGTCTGCTAGATCAATTAAGAATAAGAAAAATAAAAATTTTTATTTTACCTTCACTTATTCTCTGATGCTCTTCCTTCTTTATGTAGATCTGAGTTTCTGACTCATATCACTTTCCTTCTAAGAACTTCTTTTAATATTTCTCGTAAGACAGATCTACTGGCAACAAATTCCCTCAATTTTTGTTTGTCTGAAAATGTATTTCTCTTTCACTTTTAAAGGATAATTTTGCAGAGTACAGAATTCTAGGGTGATTTATTTTTCTCAACGCTTTATTTCATTTCAACTCTCTTCTTGCCTGCATGATTACTGATGAGAAGTCAGATATAATTCCTATTTTTGCTCCTCTATAGGTAAGGTTTTTTTCCCCCCTCTATATTCTTTCAATATTTTTACTTTATCTTTGATTTCCTGTAGTTTAAAAATGATACGCCTAGGGGCTGGCCCCACAGCCAAGTCGTTAAATTTGGTGCACTCCACTTCAGTGGCCTGGGTTCAGTTCCCGGGAGTGGACCTATACCACTTGGCAGCAGCCACGCCATGGCGGTGACCCACATACAAAATAGAGGAAGACTGGCACTGATGTTAGCTCAGGGCAAATCTTCCTCAGCAGAAGAAAAAAGATTTGCCTAGGTGTAGGGTTTTTGGCATTTATCCTCTTGTGTTCCCTCAGCTTCCTGGATCTGTGGTTTGTTATCTGACATTAATTTGGGGGAAGTTCTCAGTCATTATTGTTTCAATTATGTCTTCTACTCTTGTCTTTTCTTCTGGAATTCCCATACACGTCTGTCACATCTTTTGTAGCTGTGCCACATTCTTGATATTCTGTTCTTTTTTTTCTTCGGTCTTTTTTCTCTTTGCTTTTCAGTTTTGTTGGTTTCTATTGAGACATGCTCAATTTCACAGATTCTTTCCTCAGCTGTGTCCAGTAAACTAATAAGCCTATCAAAGGCATTATTAATTTCTGTTACAGTGTTTTTGATCTCCAGCATTTCCTTTTGGTTCTTTTTAGAATCTCTGCTTACATTGCCCATCTGCTCTTGCACGCTATGCACTTTGTCCAGTAGAGCCCTTAGCATCTTAATCATAGTTTTAAATTCCCAGTCTGATATTCCAATATCTCTGCCATATCTGAGTCTGGTTCTGATGCTTTCTCTGTCTCTTCAAACTGTGCTTTCTACCTTTTAGTATGTCTTGTAATTGTTTTGATAGCTGGACATGATGTACTGGGTAAAAGGAACTACCGTAAACAGGCCTCTAGTAACGTGGTGGTGAGGTGTGGGACAGGGGAGTGTTCTCCAGACCTTTGGGGAGGACTCGGTCTCTCAGTGGACTTGATCCTCTGGACTGTGGAATTCACATGTGCTTCTCAGTATTTTCTCCCTTCTCTTTACTGGAACAGGATGGCTAGAATGGGATGGAGTTGGGTATTTCCCCTCCCCAGGGTCAGCTGGCTCTGATTAAATACTTTCTCCTAAAGGCAGACATTGTTAAGAACATGCTCTGGCATATTTGAAAATGGTTCCTTTGTCCCTCCCCATGCTAGAAGCACAAAGGAATTTTTCTCCAATATTCACTGTGACAACCTGGTCTACCTCTTGGAGGCAAAAAGCAAGTGTGGAGGCCCCCAATGACCCAGACCCCATGGGGTTTTAAATTCTCGGTTGTCCACATTGAGCCTCTAGCAATCCATCAATTACAGTTCAGGTTTTCCTATCTCAGCACTGTTTCTTGCAGGTTTGTGCTTGTGGGTTTCTGCTCTGGTAAGTTGTGATTGTCTGTATTCACTTTCTCCAATTCTTGTCCCTGTGGTTTGCCCTGGGACCTCACTTCTCTGATGGGTCTTAGGAGAGTTGCTTTTCAGTTTACCTTTTTATTTGTTAGGATAGAGTGATGACTTCCAGCTTCTTACATGCCAGACCAGAAACGAGAAGTCTCTGGTAATATTTTATTGAATGCCAGACATTGTCAATTTTACCTTGCTGGGTGATGGATTCATTAAAAATATTCTTGAGTGTCATTCTGGGATGCAGCTAACAGTTTGATCCTCTCAGGTCTTGTTTTTAAGCTTTCTTAGGTGGGGCGAGAGCCCTATTTAGGCTACTTTTGCTCCAGTACTGAGACAGGACCCTTCTAAGCACTCTATCCATGCCCCACGAATTAGGAGATTTTATACTCTGGCTGGGAACTGTTAAAAGCTCCGGGGACTGTTCAGACGGCTCTTTTCCCTGCCTCCAGGGGTCTTCTGACACACTTGATTGGTATTCTGCTGAAGACTCCAGGGAGACTCTCTGCAGATCTCTGGATCCTTCTCTGTACACTCTCCTCTTTCTAATACTCTGCTCTGCAAACTCCAGCCCCCTTGGTCTCCCTGGATTCCCAGTTCCATGTCCTCAACTCAGAGACTACTGGGCTCCATCTGGATTCCCCCTCCCTACACTGGGCCATGGAAACTCTCTCCAGGTGGTATGCTGGGGCAATAACAGGGCTCACCTCATTTGTCTCCCAGAAAAATTTATGCACCAAAGTGTGGCAGGCAGAATAATGGCTCCCTAAAATGCCATGTCCTAATGCCCTGAATCTGTAAATATTACCTTATACGTGAAGGGAATTTTGCAGATGTGATTAAGGATCTTTAGATAGGAAGATTATCCTGGATTTCCTGGGTGGCCCCAATCTAATTACAAAGGATCTTTTTTATTTATTTTTTTATAATTTTTTTTTTCAGGAAGATTAGCCCTGAGCTAACACCTGCTGCCAATCCTCCTCTTTTTGTTGAGGAAGACTGGCCCTGAGCTAACATCTGTGCCCATCTTCCTCTACTTTATATGTGGGACACCTACCACAGCGTGGCTTTCCAAGTGGTGCCATGTCTGCACCCAGGATCCGAACCAGTGAACCCCGGCCACCGAAGCGGAACATGTGCACTTAACCACTGAGCCACTGGGCTGACCCACAAAGGATCTTCTAAGAGGGAGGCAGGAGTGTAACAATCAGAGGAGATATGATGACAGAAGCAGAGGTCAGAAGAAAGAGACTGATGATTGAGTGAAGATATTAATTGCTGGCTTTGAATATGGGGGAAGAGGCCTCAAGCCAAAGAGTGCAGGTAACCTCTAGAAGTTGGAAAAGACAAGGAAGTGGATTCTCCTCTGGAGCCTCCAGAAGAAATGCAGCCCTACCTTTTGATTTTATCCCCCAAGACTTAATCTTGAAATTTGACCTCCAGAACTATAAGATAATAAATTTATATTGTTTAACCCACTAAGTTCTTGGTAATTTGTTACAGCAGCAGTAGGAAACTAACACAATCACAAATTGGGAGCGTGGAATATAAGTAGGAAATAAGAGCTTGTTAAGACACGATAGTGAAAGAAATTTTATTTTGGATCTGAGAAAACTAGAACCTCTTGCTACCTTGACATTCTCATTAATGTTATGTAAGTACAGTTACATTAAACCCAGAGACAAAATACCAGTACTTCCCTCAAAAAAGAAAAACAAAAGAAAAACGGGTGGGTTTTCAAACATTTCTATAATGGCCTTAAGGAAGAATTCTCCATGATACATTCTAACAATATGATCCCTTTTGAATAGAACACCATCATTTGCAAGTAAAAGCCACCCACTGCATTTGGTGTCAGAAGTAGTCTTTAGTGTGACAGCCACAGAGAGACTGGTTCCAAGATGAGTAATCCTAGTAAGTTACAAGGCAAATCAACAGAGGAGAAATTCATATATGAAGTTCTAGTCTTACAAAATATTTCACGGTTGAAAAATAAGATTTTATTTCACTAAATTCCAAACATCTATCCTATTAACAGGTAAGAAGCTAAAACACATCATATTCTCTTCAGAATTTATGATTTCATTTTCTTCTTCAATTTAAGGTGTAACTTACCTAATAGTCTAGATCAGTTTCTTTTACAAGTTTACAAATCTCAAGAATCTTCCACTCAACTTCTTTATACTTTTCTACATTTTTCAAGTTTTCTAAAATGCACATTGTATCCATTAGGGTTAACTGTGGCCATTACAGAGTGACTTAAACAAGAGAGAAGTTATTTCTCTCACGTAAAAGGCCAGAGGTAGGTAGTTGCAATGCCTTCTCTGCCTGAACAGCAGTAGTAGTCAGAGTTTTGGAATGACATTCGCTCACAGGACCCAATAAGCCTGGGGGACCCAACCTGCAGCGGCTCACTTGACTTCATAGGAAAAAGCACAGCAGCATGACTTGTTTCAGCAGGAGTCTTTGCTCCAGACTCCCGAGTGTGAGCTCCACTCTAACGGAACAAGATCATCTGGGTGGGTGCAGAAGCCACATTGGCTTACAACCTTCATGCTCCCTAAGAACCAATATCTCTTCAGAGCCCATGAGTGTCGCTTCCAGGGATCTTTGCAAAAAGAAACACAGCACTTAAGGAAGTCCAAAGCACACGCTTTCCAATGGACATTTATAGCACTTGTCACAGTCGTCCTGGTCCAGGTACAGCTTACCAATAAGGGTAATTTTAAATGACAAACAATATCGCCTGGCATTACAGCTGATGCTCTATTAGTACCTTGTCCAGCAGGCTTCCAGAGAAAACGCTGCTGAAAGGTAAAGTCGAGCTCATTCTACTAGGAAGAAAAAGAAGGGTTTTACTAACCCTCTGTTCACAGCAGTCTAGGGCAGCAGCATAGTGTCAGAATCCGATCTTCTATCTTGTTGCTCTGCCACCCAGGGCTTCTATTTCCAAGGTTACTTTACAGTCTAGGAAGCCTGGTGGAACTCTAGCCGCCACAGCCATGTTCCAGCAGGAAGAAAGAGAAGATGAGCTGGCCCATTTCCTCTTACACCTTAAAGTTTAAGAAAACTTGCCAGAATCATCCCACTCTCGACACTTCTAATTCCATGTCACTGCCCAGAATTTAGTCAAATGGCCATGTATACACGCAAGGAAAGCTGGGCACATTAATAACCTGAATAAATTCTGGGATTCTGTTACAAAGAAAAAAAGGAAGAACAGATATTGGGTCAGATAATTAGCAGTCTCTCCTACACAGACATATGGTGGGAAAAGTAAGCTTTTTATTAACAAAAGCTGAGGCTAAAAAAGCCGTATAAAAATTGGGAAGACATATGCACTTATGATTTGGAAATGTTTTTAATCAGCATAAGTTTTTTTTTGAAAAGTTACAAAACTTATTGAAGAAAAAAATTCCTCACCCTAGAACATTAGTTCTCTGATCTGTCACAAAAAACAGTTATATCTCCAACCCTTATGAGATATAATTAATGTCAGGTTTGTTTTAACGTATTAACACCAGGTAAAACCATACGAAGTTGCTGTTTTTTGTAGTTAGAAACAATTGAATATTGGCAATTTCATATAGTTCAACCTATAACAAAGTATTAAAGTTTGTGAATAATTTACTTAAAAAACACAAATTAGACCAGATCTGCTCATCACCATAATAGAATGACTGTTACATCTGAATTCCAGTATCTTTCTCAAGGGGGAAAGGAGTGGAATTACAGCTGGACTATCAGGAACTTGAACTTTATCCTTAAGCACTTCTGAATTCTTTTTCTGTTCCTAGATATAATACTTACTGTGGTAGACCGGAAAATGGCCCCCCAAAATTTTCAGGCCCTAATCCTCAGTTTTATGCCTGTTTACATTAAGTTACATGGCAAAACAGACTTTGCAAATGAAATTAAAGTTACAGACCTTAAAACAGGAAGGTCATCCAGGTGGGCCCAATGTAATCAAATGGACCTTTAAAGGCAAAGGCAGGAAGGGTTGGTTAGAGACAGGATGGTGGAAGCAGCATAGATTTTAGCGTGAGAGGGACTTGACCTGCCACTGCTGGCTTTGAAGAGAAGGGGACCATGAGCCAAGGAATGCAGGCAGCCTCTAAAAGCCGGAACGGCCCTTAGCTGACAGCAAGGAAATGGGACCTTAATCCTTCAACTCCAAGAGTTGAATTCTGCCCACAACTGAATGAACAAGGAAATGTCTCCCCACGCCCCTCTTCAGAAAAGAATAAAGCCCTACCAGCACCCTGATTTCAGCCCAGCTGAGACCCATGTCCAGCTGCTGACACAAAACTATAAGAAAATACATTCCTGCTGTTTTAAGTCACTAAGTTTGTGGTAGTTTATGATGGCTGCAATAGAAAACTTATACACTTACCTTAGTAAAATCTCCAGTTTAAAGGACTCAGCAGAGAAGGGTTGCTATAGTCATTTAAACCATATTTTAAAAAATTCAGTTCATACCTGGTCCTTAATGATTCTGTTATATTAAGTTGTAGCTATAATTGGAAATATGTGTATAGCCAACAAAAATAAAATAATAGTGAACTGAAAGCTACACAGCCAAATATTTTATATAAAAACTCTAAAAAGTTCACGACTAGTTATTACGAGAAACATTTCATCTAGGAGAGCTTTCTAAAGTAGCATCTTGAGTTTCCATAAAAACAGAACCTTCTGTCTCAAAAGAAGGGATATCAATAAGAGGACCAGAATCCTCTATTTCCAGGTGCAGTGGCTTCCCCTGTTCATGACTCAGGTTTGAATTATCCTTCATTTGAATTTCTTGCTCTTCCAACTCCAAAGGTTTATCTGAGGCTGGAACTACAACATCTTCATCTTCATTTTCATGTAGAAAGCTACAAATCATGTTGGGTCTATAGGAGAAATCATTATCCTTGATTTGCAGCCATTCCACACCACCTAATGGGGAGGGAGAGGAAAGAGGGGAGGACAAACCAAGAAAGACACAGGAAAAAGGAGTCTTAGTTACTTAAGTATATTTTTCTTTAATTTAAATATTCATCCTATGAATAAATGTCAAAGTAAAAGCCCACCATAAACCAAGGAACATGGTGCCTGTAACTACTGATAAATAATTAAGTCATTTCCATCTTACATGGAGACCTTGGAATGCTAACAGGGGATGTATTGTCAAAATCACTAAAAGCAATCAACTTCAGTTAGCACTGCAAGGGCTCTTCCCAGAGTTCAATTCCCAACTCATTCTGAACGATAATTTGAGCTCTCACTGCCACCTCACGCCTCAGAGTGACGAAAACTGTCACTTCCCTACAATTTTCTCCTTACCTCTCAGTTTTCATAACACAATGGATGATACTGACCTATCATCTTCTAAGTCAACACTTACATGTCGTTTTGAGTTGGAATATCCAATTGTGAAATAAGACACCTCTCAAAAAAAAAACACTTGGAAAAGTTTCGTTTCTCTCCATACTCATAGTCAAAGCCCTAACCCCTCAATGAAGCCCTATAATCAAGAATTGCTCCAATAATGCTAGTCATTTTTTCATTTATTCTTATTACCCTTTCAGCCAAATATTTGCAATTGATTCTCATTAATTTCTGTAGCAAGCCCAAGCTGTTTACTCTCATTTTCAAAATTCCACTAGCTATCTCTAAGATACCCCAACATATCCTGCCACCTGCTCACACATCCATCTGCTCCTACTCCCCACTATAAATGAGCTCTTCTGCAGCTGTTTGTGGAAACTTCCTCACTGCTGATCCCACGTCTTCTCATGTGTTGTTCCTATAAAGTCTACCTCTATCAAAAACTGATTAGTCCTTTTCTCTCCAGTTCAGCTTCAACTATTGACTTCTTATTTTTTTCCTGCAATGGCATCATTCTCCTAGTCACCCAGATTCAAAACCTTGAAGCCATCCTTTATTCTGTTATTTAGCATAATACTTGGCCCATAACAGATACTTAAAATAAGCTGAATGAAATAGGCGTGGACTCACATTCATCCACGGCTATTTCAGTGTGACTTCCTTTAGAGTGAAGTTCCCAGAAAGTAAGGACCACATCTCCTGTCTGCTTTGCCTGCCTCCAGCATACTGCCATGTTTGGCAGCCAGCCTCTAAGGTCCCCAATGATCCTCACCTTCATGCCCGTGTCACCCCCTCCCACACTGTATAGGAAACTGCAGAAATCACAGAATGTGACTTCTAAGGCTAGTTCATAAGATGTTCTCATGGATCACCTGATCTGGGAGGAGCCAGCTGCCTTGTGAGGAGGGCACTCAAACAGTACTAAGTGGAGGCAAGGAACTGAGGCCTCCTGCTAACGGCCAGCACAAACTTGCCGGCCATGTGAGTGAGCCATCTTACCATCGGACCCTCCAGGTTTACTCACGCCTTCAGATGACTGCAGCCTCGGGAGCCACCTCGAGCCAGAACCACCTAGCTAAGCTGCTCCCAAATTCCTGATTCACAGAAACTGTGTAAGATGGCGTTTTTTGCTATTGTTTTAAGCCGTTAAGTTTAGGGGTAATTTTTTATGCAGCAATAGATAACTAATACAGCCTTGAACAGTTGCTTACTAATTTATTTGATTAAGCAAAACATCCAAATTGTTCCAAAGATCTATCAGACTATTAAAGACTACAAGAGAGGAAATTCTATAATTTCCTTTAACAAGAGTATCTAAACAATAGCTAAGCTCATCTGATATGCATCTGCCCTTCAAGTTCATTCTAGAACTTCAAGTATTATCTATTCTTCCTGCTATTTTCAGAGAGTGCCTAAAAAAGGGGATAGTTTTGGGATATACATAAGAACAGAGATTTGTTATGGAGTAATGTGTAGTTGGTGTTATTAATTTCTGTATGATTAATGTACCTTCAAATTTTATTCCTTAAAATAAAATAAACCTACTGAGTCATGAATATATTCATCACTAAGGTCATGTTTACTAGAGTTTCAAATATGTCTTTGAGCAAAGAGCTTTTAAAACTCTCGAGTGATTCTCTGTTTATCTCCATAAACATGTGACTGCTGTGGACACAAGCAGCCCTGGTCTAAAGTCTCTAGTCTGGGATGACAAGCAACTGGAGAAGGCTAAATGGACACTAATTAAGAACTGGACTCAGGACTAACAACTGTGTACTAGAGTCTGAGTCCCTCCCTCACGTCTAAAGCCAGCTTCTTCCAGCTGTGAGCTCCTGGAGAAGGCTGCAGCAGCTGCCAAAAGTGTCAGGAGATCTCTGAGGTTACACCCTGGGAATCCAGAACTGCTATCATATCTCCTCCACTTACAGGGAAGTTTTCATTATAAAAGAGAGGAAGAGACAGACACACACACGCTGAATTCCCTAGGGGTTGGAAATCATATTAAGTTTCTTGGGAAATTCCTCACAATTGTTTCCCATGCAAAGCAGATAGAGATTTCTTACATATGTCTGCTATATTAGAATTCCACTGAATTTTAAATTTATGTTTGGTACTTTTCATGGAGCACCTCAATTTTAATATATTTAACATATTACATACAGTCATTACTTCAAAGTACAAGGAACGTCCTGGCAGCAATATGTCATTACCAGAGCCAATATTAAATCATCTGTTTTCAAAGACCTAAGTGAACCAACCTATGTTTTCTTCTCCTTCCTTCTTTTCTGTCAGAAGAGTTCTTGTCATGTTGAGCTTCTTCATTGTATGGCATTTATACTTCAGCACTGTCTTATTATTTCCTTCTGCATCCACTAGAACAAAATCAACTCAATTATTATACTGCTGGATGCCATTAAATAAAATCATCATGTTAAGCCTCAAAAGACTAAACTACTTCCTGTCAAGATAAGGTAGTAAGTTCAAGATTTACTCATCCCTTCCGCCCCAAGCACAGATAAATGACAGATATAACACGTAACAGGAGCCGGCCCCATGCCGGAGTGGTTAAGTTCATGCCCTCGCTTCGGCGGCCCAGGGTTTCGCCAGTTCAATTCCCGGGTGCAGACATGGCATCACTCAGCAGGCCATGCTGAGGCGGCATCCCACATGCCACAACTAGAAGGACCCACAACTAAAACATGCAACTATGTACTGGGGGGATTTGAGGAGAAAAAGCAGAAAAAAGAAAAAAAACAAAAACACGTAACAACTGAGGGCACAACCAGACTCAAAAACAACACATATCTCCAGGGGATAGAAAACCCAAAGCTCTGAGTGAGATTAAACTATGGGCCACTTAGGCTGCAGCCCTTAAATAGGAAACTGGGGCCAAGAATTTGGCCTTACAGGGTAATGAGGTCTAAAATTCTACCACTCAAAATGAAGGATCAGGGACTGGCCAGGTGGCACAGCAGTTAAAGTTCGTACATTCCGCTTCAATGGCCTGGGGTTCGCCAGTTCAGATCCTTGGTATGGACCTACACACCACTTGGCAAGCCACACTGTGACAGGGGTCCCACATAAAGTAGAGGAGGATGGGCATGGATTAGCTCAGGGCCAGTCTTCCTCAGCAAAAAAAAAAAAAAGAAGAAGAAGAAGAAGAAGAAGAAGAAGGACCAAAATCCTGAAGCCAGAGACTGGAGTGCGGATATTTCTAATCATGAAAGAAGGCTGAGACAGACACTGCTGCTAACCTGCTGCTGAGGGTTACAGCTTTATAGAAAGCTGTGGACACAGGCAGGAGGGAGGATGAGGGTCTGAGCTAAGGATGCGAACCCCACTGAGAACTTCTATACACTGCTACTGTGAGTGTAAACTGAAACTCCACTTGAGAAAGCAACATAATGGCATCTGTTAAGTTGAACCATATGAAACTGTCGAGCTTCAGCCAAAATTGGTAATTTCATATGGCTGAACCTAATGGCAAAGTTGAAGATACACACACCCATCAATCATGCAATTTCATTTCTAAGAGTATACCTTAAAGATATTTTTACATATAGGCACAGGAGACATATAAAATATTCATGGCGGCATTTAGTAGTGAGTTATAAGCATAATTAAGAACGTGGGCTCTGGAGCAGACCCCCCGGGTTCAAATCCTGGCTCTGCCGCTTACTTGAGTATGACCTTGGGAATGTCATTTACCTCTCTGTGCTTCAGTTTCTTCAAATATAAAATAAAGATAACAATGGTATCTACCTCATAGGCTTGTGGTAATTAAATGAGTTTAGACATGTAGCATTTAGAACAGTGCCTGACATACAGAAGGCACGCAATAAATTTTAGTTGTAATTAATAACTACTAGTAAAAGTGGAAGCAACCAACACGTCCATTAACTGGAGAATAAACTGCAGTATAGTCACAAATGGAATACTAAGCAACAGGGAAAATAAGAGTTATATCTATCAACACGTATAAATCTCAAAACATACCTCTGATTGAAAAAAGATGTAGAATGATATGTACTGTATGCTATAGTTTATATCAAATTTGAAAATATACCAAAAAATGCTATTTATTGTGGATACATATGTAATATAAAGTCAGGTATAGGAAAGAAAAGCACCAAATTCAGAGAGTGATTACCTGTGAACACAGAGGAAGGGAGTAAGTTTAGAGAGGGGTATACCAGGGGCTTCAAATGTATCTGGGATGTTTTTTAATTATCTGGCAAAATGGTAGGATTTGACACAGCTAGACAATGGGTACATGAGATGTTAATTTTAATATTCACTGTACATAAGTATGTTAGAAATATTTCATAGTAAAAAGACTTGAGTTAGCATAGCAATCACTTACCATGTTCAACATTTTCTTCAAATATAACACAAGTCCCAAGAGTGTCTGTAGAAAAATTTGAAGGAAACTTGTTGAGAAATAACAGAGCTACTTTCTCTAAAAAGCATATTAAAAAAAAATAGAGTGTCATCTATCTGACATCCTCCTACCTTCATACTCGCCAGCAAAGACATAGCTGTCCACTTGCAGAATGGGCCTCTCAGTGTCAATTCCCTAGAACAGGATACAGGATCATAAAAAATCATCCTTAAAACAAGTCTTGGTATGGGGCCGGCCCCGTGGACTAGTTATTAAGTCTGGCACGCCCTGCTTTGGATGCTCAGGTTCAGCTCCCAGGCACAGACCTACACCACTGGTTGGGGGCCATGCTGTGCTGGTGACCTACGTACAAAATAGAGGAAGACTGGCACAGATCTTAGCTCAGGGCAAGTCTTCCTCAGCAAAAAAAAAAAAAAAAAAAAAAGTCTTGTGGGGGGTGGGGTGGTGAAATGGGTAAGAGCAGCCAAAAGATACAAACTTCCAATTACAAAATAACTAAATAAGTCCTGGGGATATAACGTACAGCATGGTGACTATAGTTAATAATACAGTATTATATATTTGAAAGTTGCCGAGAGAGTAAATCTTAAAAGCTCTCATTATAAGAAAAAAAAATTGTAACTATGTGCGGTGATAGATATTAACTAGACTTATGATCATTTCACAGTATATACCAACATCAAATCATTATGGCCCACATCTGAAATTAATACAATGTCTTATGCCAATTACATCTCAATTAAGAAAGAAAGAGAGAGGCTTCCAAGGGTAACCTAGCTACCAAGGAGACTAATTTCCAAAACGAGGGAATCTCCAGGGCTTCTTGTCCTAGCAAGTACAAGAGAAGCTAAAACTGCTGTCATCACCGTAGCCACAACCTGAAGACTACTTAACTCCTACCCAAGTAGCAAGGTCTATTTCAATCAACATCCTCTTCAAGTTTATGGCAACGACAGAGGAAGTTTTGTCAACAACAGCTCAAAGATTTTCACGTAAAGTGATAAAACAGATGGTAACTTATGATAGCACGGCTCAAGGCAACAGCAGAGCGTGAGGTCTCTAAGTCTTGTCTTAGCGGCTCTCTTCTTTCCCTGCTCCACAGTTTAACCCGGGTGCATATCTGATCGTCCTCTCCTCGCCTTGTGTTTCTCTCTCCTGCCTCACTTTCTAAAACAGTGCATTTAAAAATGTATGTCTTGTTCCATTTCAAACTGCGACCTCCTCCCAATCTTCACCTTTCTCTCCAGCCACACGTTCAGACACTCGAGCAGAGTTTGCCCTTTTCTCCGATCTGCTACCACAGTCCCTGTACTTCTTGGAGCCGCCTTCGAGTTTACGTGGAGCGAATATTATCAATCTTCGGGGACAGCTATTTCACCATTCACTGTTTCACGTTTAAGAAAATCTACAACCACCCTCCAACTCTAGAAGACTCACCAAAATCTTGCATTTATTTTCACATTTTGAGAGAAAGTCTGAATCAATAATTCCTGACAATTCCACCAAAACCAACTGCTCCTGGCGGAAGAAAGAGGGGTTAGCACGCCAGCCGGCTAGGGCGCGCGCGGGAGAAGCGATTTAACAAAAGGAGCCGCAGAGCCCCACGGCGACGATCCCGCCTTGGGACGGCCTGCTGTCACCGACAGCCCGCAGGCGACGTGCCCTACGGGAAGTGCCTCTACTTCCCCGCGCCAACCACCGTGTGGCACTTGGCGCCCGCCGCGCCCCCGACCCTTTCCCCACACACAGCCCGCACGCCACCACCGCCGCTGCCGCCGCGCGGCTTTCCGGACGGCACTCACGGCCTCCTCTTCCTCCTCTTCCTCCTCTTCCCCGTCTTCCCGGTCCCCGCGACTCGGCTCCTCAGCCGCCGCCATGTTCCCGCCCTGCTCGGGCCTCCGCGTCACCGGCCACGCCCCCCCGGCGCCGCCATCTTGAGTGAGGGCAGCCAGCCACCGTGCCGCGCGCAGGGGGTCCGGGTCAGGCGTCGTTCCTCTGCGGAGAGGAGGGGCCCTGGCGGCCGCTGGGGCGGTGCTGCGACCGCGGGAGGCCTCGCTCTCCCGCGCAAAGGAGAGGAGAAGCTTGGCGAGTTAGGAAGCCGCCCGGTGCGGCGGAAGCGCAGAGGATTGCGGGTGGCCCGCGCCTGCCTGTTCGCAGGGAAATCCCTAATTTCGCGTGAGCACGCATCCTCAGTTCGCGGTCCCGGAGCCAAGTTCAGGGTACCGGGCAATTCAACACGCCCGCTGCGCGCGAGGCCGGGCGGTAGGAAGTGGGCTTGCGTTTCAGTCCTGCCGGAGCGTAGGGTCCAGGAGAGGTAGATAAAGGGACCCAACCAATTATACATTAACCAGTGTGCCCCAGGTGCTGTCGATGTCGGCTCTGTGAGCCGAGGAGTTGAAAGAAATGTTTCTTGGACTCTCAAGGTCTGGTCGTAGTTCTCTTTTATTCAGAGAATAGCATGGGGACAGGACCCATGGGCAGTGAGAGGGGCTGGTGTGGTGACAGCACCCGTGGGCAGTGAAGAGCTGCGATGTGTTGAGGATAGGGCTAAATGTATAAGGAATAGGTACTGACTTATTTTTTTTACCAAAGAAAAGATAAGGTAAAAAGTTGTTAAAATAGTGTGGGTGCAGGTGGGGTCTGGTTATTGTGTGGTCGTGTGACTTTAGATATGAATCAGGTCATATAGATGGGCATGTAGGCCAGGACCCCTTGGGCTTCTCTCCCTGGGGCAGCCTTGATCCACATCACTATAAGGGATGTAAATTGTTATGGGAATACTAAGAGACCTGGAGAAGTGAACTTTTGAACAGAATTTCCTTAAAGTAACCTCATGGATTCTCCTGATCATAAAATAAATGATCTTTGTACCCGAGACAGGATGATCGAGCTCCCAGGAGCATGAGCTTTGGGGTCCAGTACTTGAATGAACGGTTCCACTGCATTATTAGCAGCAAGGCCTTAGGTGTTGGTTATTGTGAGGATTAAATGAGATAATACATATAAAGTAGATTTAGCCCAGTATTCTGCACGTATTAAGCATTCAATGTGCATTTAATCTATTAGTAGTAAAGTACAAAATTTTAGAGTATTATGACAAACATTTTGTATGTATCTTTTCAGCATTCTACATGCACACTTTTTTTTACAAAATGTGTTCAAACTTGTACATCTGTCTTTAACTTGCTTTTCTCACTGTTTACAGTATCACGGGTGTTTTTCCATGTTTTCTATAATAAATATAGATCTACATCATAATTTTTAGTAACTGCATAGTATTTATTGTGTAATATTGATATTACACAACATTTTAGTAAACATCTTTCTACATTTTTACCCAGTTGCCCCATTAAATGAATAGGACTTCTTAGCTTAAAAAAAGTAGAAAGTGCACTCGATCTGAAGTTGCAGATTTGAGTTCTAGCTTTTGAAATGTAATAATTGTGATCTGGCACAGGCTGGTATGCTTTGTCAACCTGTGTCCTTATTTATTAAATGAGGATAAAAACATTTATACTTACTGTATATTTTTTATTTGAAGATTAGATCATGTATCTAAAAGTGCTTTATAAATTGAAAAAGTGCATAAATTGTCAGCTTTTATCGGGCTAATGGGAGAATAAAAAGGACAATCCAGGCTGAGGGACCAGCAGGTGCAAAGGCTTGAGAAATGAAAATCTATGTGTTTTAGTATGGAGATTTGTCAAAAAATTGAAAATAGAAATACCATGCAACCCAGCTATCCCACTGCTGGGTATTTATCTAAAGAACTTGAAATCAACAATACAAAGAGATCTGTGCACCACTATGTTCATTGCAGCATGATTCACAATAGCCAAGACATGGAAGCACCCCAAGTGCCCATTGACTGATGAATAGATAAGGAAGATGTGGTATAGATATACAATGGAATACTACTCAGCCATAAAAAAGACAAAATTGTCCCATTTGCAACAATGTGGATGGACTTTGAGGGTATTATGTTAAGCAAAATAAGCAAGAAAATGGTACAACAAAGGAAAGAAAGACTCTTCTTATTGGTGCCCAGAAAACAAGCTGGAGGTTTACTTCCTGGTAAGTCCGAGAGTGATTCTTCATCTCCAGACAGGGCTTTTCAGGGCTGGCTCACATCACTCTGCAGTGATTTCCTGTAGGATCACAAATTTTGAGCTCTGTCACCCTCGCCAACAGTAAGGCCTCCAAGTAGCATGGCTGTTGGACTTGGTCTCCAGCTGGGTGAGGTGGACTGCATTCCAAGAGCTTGTTCATCCTGGAGCATGTCACTTCCAGACTGATCTACAGCTTCCAGGCTCCAGGGTTGTGCTGTAAAGGACGGTGCTGGGGAGAGAGGAAACTCTCTCAAAGGGGAGATCTCCCCTCCAAAGCCTAAGCTTTTCTTAACCCTTGACAATGGAATCTCAAACAGGGCTCCTTCCCCCTATAAAATGCCAGCATCTGGCAAGAGGCCTTTGAATCAGAACAAAATAATTCTAAATAAATGTATGGCAATTGCTGGCTCTCTGCTTGGGAATCCAATGGCATATGATGCAGTGGTAACTGGCCCCAAAAAGAAACACAGTCAAGGCAACAATAAAAGAGAAGACATTTTTACCTTCCTATGTTATAAGCCAAAGAGTTTTATATACAACATAAAGCAAACCATGAACAAACATGGTCTCAACCCAAATGTGCAGGTCAAGTGGCCAGACCATGAGAAACAACTCTCAGCTGGTCACACCACCTCGAGAGACAGAGAAAGACAAACACCATATGATTTCACTCATATGTGGGAGATAAACCAACACATGGATAAAAAGAATAGATTAGTGGTTACCATAGGGGAAGGATGTGTGTGTGTAGGGGGGTGAAAGGGGTAAATGGGCATATATGTATGGGTGTTGGATTAAAACTAGATTATTGGGGGTGAGCACAATCCAGTCTATACAGAAACTGATAAATAATAATGTATACCTGAAATTACACAATGTTACAAACCAATACCATCTCAATAAAATTTAAAAAAAAATAATATATATATATGTGTTTTACAAGGTCAGTGTAATAACTCAAAATTCCCTTTCAAATAAACAAGCCTCACACTTCTGGTTAAGGTTATTATTGTTTATTATTTCTGAAGTAATTATTTTTATTTATTTTGAATGATTTACAAAAGGATAGAAAGAGTAAGCCTTCCATCCTTGTCGCCCAGCTCCCCTTTCTACAGGCAACCCTTTTTACCAATTTCTATGTATCCTTTCAGAGATAGTCTGTGTATTTACAAAGACATGTGTATACAAAATCTGTAAAATAATTTTAATATTATAACATAGCACACAGACTAAAAAGCCATTCCCTTGGGAGGAAAGAAGACATTATAGTATTGGCTCCATGCCAAGAGCTCATGCCCTTTGAAAATCAGCTTAAAGGTTGAAACATCTCTCAGGCAGAAAACAAGAACTTAATGGGCAGAACAACCCATCAGCATCAGCTTTGAAAGAGGGAGAAAAAGAAGCCTTTTGGTGATTGGGAGGAATTTCCATGGTCTGTAATTGGAGTCCATTCTTAATACCTTCTACTCTCAATCCTAAAAAAGATAATAAGGCACAGATGCCAGCTGAAAAAGACTAAATTATCTTCACTTAAAAGTAGCAGCAATTGAGCCAGCCGTGGTGGCCCAGTGGTTAAGTGCGCTCTGCTTTGGTGGCCCAGGTTTGGTTCCCAGGTGCAGACCTAGACTGCTCTGTTAGTGGCCATGCTGTGCTAGCTGCCCTCATAGTAAAAATTAGAGGAAGATAGGCAAGGATGTTAGCTCAGGGTGAATCTTCCTCAGCAAAAATAAATAAATAAAAATAGAAACAATAAACAAAATGTGGTGTATCTATACCATGGAATCTTACTCACCAATAAAAAGTAATGAAGTACAGGGGCTGGCCCCCTGGCCGAGTGGTTAAGTTTGTGCGCTCCGCTGCAGGCGGCCCAGTGTTTCGTCGGTTCGAATCCTGGATGTGGACATGGCACTGCTCATCAAACCATGCTGAGGCAGCGTCCCACATGCCACCACTAGAAGGACCCACAACGAAGAATATACAACTATGTACCGGGGGGCTTTGGGGAGAAAAAGGAAAAAAATAAAATCTTTAAAAGAAAAAAAAAAGTAATGAAGTACAGATACATGCTACAACGTGGAGGAACTTGCAAACATTATGCTAAGAAGCCAGACACAAAAGGCCACATATTGAGTGATTCTATCCACATGAGATGTCCAGAATAGGCAAGCCCATAGAGAGAAAGTAGATTAGCAGCTGTCAGGGCCCGGGGGGAGGGGAATGGCAACGACTGCTACTGGGTGTGGGGTTTCTTTTGGGTGATGAAAATGTTCGGGAAGTAGTGGCGATGCCTGCACAACTCTGTGAACATACTAAAAACCACTGAATTATATGCTTTAATTTTATGGTATGTGAATTATATCTGAATAAATCTGTTATCAAAGAAAACAAAAACAGGAAAATTGCCTGGCTGACTAAGGAAAAATCTTTGAAGGCCAGATCAGGGCCAAATACCATGGCAGCTGCATAGCAGAAGTATCGTTTGGCCCTGGATCCAAAAGGATGGCTTAAGAACCCGTGTGGCAGGAGGGTTGGTTGGTCAAGGTCAAGAGTCATTAGCTTGTTTTAACTGAACCTACTTTAAGCCTCATGACAGTCTCAAGAGGTAATTATTATCCAGAGTGATGTTTGAAATATTTAACTAGTAGGGCACAGCACTCAGCCACACTGGAGTAGGGTGGTGGGAAAGCTGGATTATAGGGAGGTCTGGAGCGAGCTAGGGGCTTGGGGAAGTTGCTTTTTGCTGACTGATATAGAAGAGTTTCAGTTACTTAAGAACTGAGGTAGTTTTACTAGTGCATACAAGATAAAATCAGTCTTCATTAGTTTAATTTCCATTTTACACATT